CGCCTGGGTTTTATGACCTCTCTGGCTTTTGAATTTGAGCTTGTATTTTGATTGGTTGTCAGGCTCCCATGGGGCCCTGCAGGGGCAACTCTGTAGGTTGTCTTTTGAATCCCAAGCTTGGTTGAGCTGTTGCTGGGTGATGATGTAATGAAAGGGCTTTGGGATTCCTATTATGGCTCTGCCTGAAGGAGGTAGATCTTTGTTATGTAAAATAGACTGGCTCTATTATATAATAGAAATCAAGATAAGCTGTATTTCTTTTTCCTGAAATCTGCATCTTTCCTTGGAATCATGGATTAGCAAAAAATAAGAGGCCAAACATCAGGGTTCATATTTTTTGGGGAAAAAATATCATGGTAAATGAAGAAACATTATTTATTTTGCTGCCTTCAAATCAACAGTCTTAAAAAAAAACATTTAAAAGCCACCTTTCTGCTTTTTCTAAGCAAAGGGTAAATAACGCAACGTCTGAGTTAGAGATTGCAATGGCGCAGAAGGCTGTGTTTTAACCACTGCAAGCATTTTGCAATGTTAGATGGTTCCTTCTAAATCCAATTTCAGAGCTATGCATTGGCGTTCCATCATAATATTTAGGTGGCAAACATTGCACCTCTCTTAATAAATATAAATAATAAAATGCAAGCTAGTCTTCGGCAATCTCTTTCCAAAGGAAACTAAACCTGAGAAAGAAACTACTTCAAACATCTCACTGCTCAGAAAACAAGGTACAATATGCAACTGAATTACTACGAATTAACTGCATGTTTATATTCTTATGATCTAAGCAAAAATCTTCAAAATTTTTAGCAAGGGGTTCTCTGCCCGGTTGTTACGTGGGTAGACATGGTCTAGTCGTCATCCTGTACCACGGCCGGGGGGGGGGGTACCCTCCCCAGGCTCCGGAGACTTTCCATGAGCCTCTGGGAGGGTGAAAACGGCCTCTCCAGGTTTCAGAAGCCCTCTGGAACCTGGGGAGGTTCCCAAAGTTCCGGTAGGCCTGTTTTTTGCCCTCCCGAGCCCCCGTGCACGCCCTGCACTTACCTGCATCCAAAACGGGCCACATGGGAACCTCTGGGAGGGGAGGGCTCAGCCAGGAGTGGGATTTGGCGGTTCTCCGAACATACAGAATCTTAGCTAGAGGTTTTCCTGAACCCCTGTGAACCCCTAGCAGCCCAGCCCTGGAAGTTATTTTATTTCCTATGAGTAGGCATCTTACTTTAGAAACTGCATTCGACATTATTTTTTTAATAAAGTGAAAACAGAATGGTGTAAATTGAAGGGGTTTTGTTTGCTACATTATATGTGGAAGGGATTTTTGTTCAAAAACAAAGTACTACAAAGATGCAGTTGAAAGAGGATGGATGCAGCAGATGTTCTGTGACTTCTTTGCTACCATTTTGAAGGAATAACTACATGACTCCAGGGTCTTTAAGCTAAATCAATATTGTGGATGGGAAGTTTTCATCTTGGCGCTTGGATTGAGTCTTGTAATATAGAAGGGAGACCCACTGATCGTATTTCTTTTTCTTATGGTGATTTACAATATCAGTATAGTCAGCTTCAGTTTTCAGTTACGGTATGTGCTGTTACATCACTGAGACCCTTACATGAATTAACATCTATATGTACATGGCTACAGAACATTTGCAACAAAAAAGGATTACTTTTTTAAAGTAAACATTACATTAAGAAATAACATGAAAATATTATTAAATTTGAATCATGTGAAAAAAGGGCATTTAGACATAACAAATCTTTTTGGTTCACTAAAACTGCATGCAGATTATTTTATTGCCAAACTGTTGTTTGTATAAGAAATGTGTATACACTGATACACCATGTTATCTCCACAAGCTTCATATAGTTAAAATGGACAAACTATTTTCTCATAAAGTATTAAATGTTTTACATTAAAGGGTATGTAATACTGCAACTATTTAAAATTATTTCAATTAATAGATAAATGCTTTTCAGTTGCAGTTACAGAAAGAAAATAACTCAGACACACTTAAAAGCCAACATTAATATGATATTTGTAGTGTGTAAACCAAGAGCAGAAATTTCAGGCAAAATTATACAGAGCCAACCTAAATATGTCATTAGAACAAACCCATTTGTCATTCATGTTTTTGAGAACAAACATCTGGTGGAATCCCATTACTGGATCATTGTCTACCTACCGTGAGAGAATACAAGCTTAATGTTAGTGGTTTAACACATAAATACATTCCACACAGTAATTTAAATATGATAGAAAACAATAGCAAGCAAAAGAATGCATTTTTGAAGCTCAATGATTTCAACAGAAACACATCAAAAGGATTTAACGCCTTTGATAAGATTGTTCTGAATCTTATGTGATATTTTGATAAAGCTAGTGTATGCATTATATTGCAACTAACATATGTCGAGAAAAACAGTTTCTGTTTATGTAACAGTTAATACAACATTAAATGCATTCTGGATGCCTTAATATTCACAGTTTTATGTTAAATCTTAGAAGCTTTGAACAGATCTTAACCAAAGATAAAACAATAACAAATCTTACCTTCAATTGGCCAACAACCATACTAAGGATACAATTGTCAGGAGCTGGCTGATGATCCTGGGATGTTATATTATGCTGAATTTTTTGGAAAGGAAGAGTCTGTTATCAAAAAAAAAACAAAAAAACACCATCATTAAGACCTAAAAAGATACCACATATCCATAGAAAACAAGGGAGTCCACAAGGACTCTTATCTGACCTTCCCAATAAGAAGCATGTTCCAAATAATTATTTGGAATGAAATGTTACAGATAATATTGATCAATTATATATTTTAGCTGATAAATAACATACCATCAATTTTTCCATAATTGAAGCTTTTCCTTGGAACTGCTGGCCTTCCCAAGACAAACAGGAAGCATCTGTCTGTGAAACAGGGACACCTTTCAGTACCACGTGTATTGAAATTATCAAAGGAAAGAAAACATACAGATAAATAATCACAGATCTAGACAGATCGTTCTTGCAAACTCCATGTGGGCTTTCAATAATCTCAGATCTAGGCACAGATCTAGTCTTGGCCATGAAATTCTCAATGAACTAGCCACCTACTCTCCCAAGAACTTTTCCAATATTTTCTACATATTGGACCTCAGAATGATATATAGAAATGATTCTTATCTGAACCTGTCAAGAGAAAGAAAGGAGCTGGAGAGAGAGGAAAGATATACCAAAAATGAAAACAGAAACATATCCATTTTTTTGCCACTGACATCTTCAACTCCTCCATTCATCACTTGACAGAAAGTTCTTAAAAGTTTAGCTTATACTTCCCTCTCCAGAAAATTAAAAAAAATTGTTCATTCTGGTTTCTAGATTTAATCTCCATTTGGCACACTCACAGTGTTAATGGTTGCAAATATATAGTGTAGCAGCAAAAAGGATGCTAATATAATGGACATGGACCGAAAGCAATAAAAAGGAGTTGGATTTCAAACCAAACTAGCCCAATCTCTCAGAGCAGCTAGTAAGAGCTCACCAGCCATGCCAACTCCCCCCAAAAATGTGAGTTATAAACACAAAGGCTAAACTGCCTATTGAGAACAAGCTTCCAAACTTCTACTCTGGCCAGCATGAAGCAAAATAACTTAAAAGTGAAGCAACTACAGACAGCCCTCAATTTATCAACCTAATAGAGCCTGCCCATTATGGTCATAACTCTTGATGGTCATAAAGTACAGTAAGTTATTCACGTGACCAATCAATTATACAACTTCTTTTGTGAAGCTATGGGGCATTTTTGCCCAAAAATGGAAATAAACACTGGTTTTCGGCAAAAACATTGTAAATCATGGTCACTTGACTACAGGATGCTGCAACTGGCTATAAATGTGGGTTACCTTGCCCAGTGCCCAAAACATGGTCATATGACTTCAGGGGGAGAGGCTGGGCTTCAGAATTCTGAACTGGGTGCAATAGGAGGGTAACTACTGTAATTTCAAACACTTGCTGAGAATCGGTCATAAGTCAAGGACTACCTGTAGCTGTTTTCCATCCAATTGCTTGAAATTACTCAATTAATGCCTGGGTTGGGAATGAGGGCTTTGAATTACAACTTTCGCTGCTTTAGTAGAAACAACAGCACCCCAAGCCAGTAATCCATTCATTGCATCAACAGGAATAATCACTGTTTTGGACAAAGAGATGTTACTATACATACATAAAGGGCACCTAATTGTTCCCTATTGGTATCAAACTGTTGATAATACAGCTGTACAAAACTTGTTCCAATTTGCTCCCACATAGGTCTTTCCGCCATTTTGTAGACCTGCAAAGAGAAAAAAAAGAGGACATTCTTTATTACTAAAATGCAAATACCGGTTGAAAACCAAGCAAGGTAATTGCAACCTCACCTTATGTAGAACCAAGTCTGCTGGTATAAATGTACTAAAATATCTTTCAATCACACTGAAGTTAAATGAAAGAACATATAGAACTCTACAAAATTTGAATCACTCAGGTCATACAGTATATGTACTTAAAATTAGTCCTGACATATATACCAACTCTTCTAACTAACTCTTTCCTGTTGATTTTATATTATGATTCTAACCAGGAATTTGAAAATTGATTGTTTTAATTCTGGATTAGCAAGAATAGTCATAAAATCTTGGTTTGTGCATTCTCTGTTCTAAGAGCCTAAAACATATGTATAAATTTTTGAGTATTTAAATCTTCAGTATTTGTTTTGATTTTTCATGCTTACTTTCCTTACTTTTTAATGGCATTTGTCATGATTTAACCACTCAGAAATTAAGTGGCAGCTAATACATTGTCTAGGTAAATCAGTATGTCCAGCGCAGCACTGCAATCTGTAAATGATAGTTTATGGCAACTAGGAGATGTGAACAATATTTTCAAATCCCAGGTATCTTTTACTCTCATTTTTTTCCAATGTAGCTAAAAAATTATCCTGAAATTATGGGCTAGATCCCTGGAATCTTGTAAAATGTGTCAAGGTTCTCAGATTTCAAACATGTTTTGTTTTAATTTGAGGAGAGTGCAACAGGTGGTATTTTATGTAGTATTGGATTCCCTAGCTCTCCTGATTGCTGGTTCTTGTAGACTAAATCCTATGCTTCACAAAGAGAGTTTGGAAATCAAACATCTTCAAAGATGGTCGTTGAGACTTTTCCAGAAGACTTCAGTTAGATCAAGCCTGCCATCTCCCAACTAACTGGTTCTACTGTAAAAATTTCCTTAATGATAAAGACATTTCTCCAAATTTCAATCAAAAACAATTTTTCTATGCTTAGTCTATTGGATTTACAAGAGCTGCCTTTTTATCTACCGTACCTGAAGAAGGCGAGGCTGTAACTGCAGTGAAAATTCAGCTACAAGTAGTAAATAGGTGATAAGGTTTTCAGGCTGGATGGTTTATTTATCTTGCCTTTCTGGTTTTATTCTCTTTGTTATTGCTGATCTTTGATTGTATTGATAAAATTTAATTGGAAGAATTGTACTGCAAGCCCTCAATATTTGCTCAATGTATATAATCCATTTTTTAATAGATAAACAATAAATTAAGTCACCTGTATTAAAATGCTGGCAACCAGATCAGCCTAGAATTATAACTAACATATAAACTTTTCCGTTATAACATCTACATGTGAAAGGAAAGGGTTTGCTTAAAAATCCTGTCTGCAACTCGACCAATTTAACCATAAGTAACCCTATCCGTGTTTTATGAAACCAATTCTCAGGTTGTTATAATTATTTAGTTGAAAGTAAATTCCAATACCATGCAAGCATGTTTACTATTGCAACGCTGACAGAATTCCTACAGATGAGTAAATCCCATTTAACCCAGTAGGATTTCATACTAAAAACTTGCACCGAACTGTGAAGAAGCTGTAGATCCATTGGATTCACACGTCCCGCAAAGCGGCTGTTTGGCTTTGGCTCACCATGTTGAATGAACAGAACAGACACTTTCCCGTTAATCTTGAAAAAACACACACTATCCTTGGGCTTGCGTATTAGCGATTGTATTTCCTAGAACCGCTCTCCCCATTCTCTGAATGCCGCGGGGCGCGTCTACTCTGAGCAGGCGGAAGCTGGCTGGCGAAGATGGTTTGCAACTGCTGGAGGCCACCAAACTCCTTGGCGCCTAGAAAAATATTGCAGGGTCTGGCAAACGTGAAAAGCAGCGCCTCAAAAGGTGCTTTTCCCAAAAGGCAACGAAGACGATTCTTTTCTCTTTAAAAAAAAGTTTTGCTTTTCGTTTTCAAAGGAAAAGAAAACCAAGAAAGTCCAGTTGCCTTTTTTGGAACCTGCACGAGTGAGAATCTCCATAGACAGTTGGAAGCAGCGTTTCTCCAATCGGGCCACTTTTAAAATGTGTGAATTCTGGCAGCTGACGTTTAGTCATCTTGGTGGCCAAGTTTTTTTTTTTTTTAAAACACCCTGCTTTAAACCTTTCAATTTCACGGTNTTGAGCCGGTGAGATTTGAACCGCCGAACTGCAGATAGCAGTCAGCTGAAGTGGCCTGCAGTACTGCACTCTAACCACTGCACCACCTCAGCTCTTATAGAATCTAGAATCCATCCTGTTGCGGCTTATTTAGCAAACTATGGTTCTCAATAGGCCAATATGTGAAACTTGCCTATTAATTTTATGACAGGACAAATAGACAATAGTGTAGCATCATGACAAGATAAGTCAACCAATGGTGCAACAAATGCTTTGCTGCTTTTTTTGTAGATGGAAACTAATCAAGGAGAGAAGCAACCTAGAACTAAGGAGAAATTTCCGTACAGTTAGAAAAATTAATCAGTGGAAACTCTTACCTCCAGAAGTTGTGGGTGTTCCAACACTGGAAGTTTTTAAAGAAGCAATTGGACAACCACTTGTCTGGAATGATATATGGTTTTCCTGCCTCAGCAGGAATTGGACTAGACGACCTCCAAGGTCCCTTCCAATTTTGTTATTCTGTTATTGGTAGTATATCCGTGATGGGGAACCTATGGCATGTGTGCCTAAAGGGACATGCAGAGCCATGTTGCCGGACATGCGCGGCCTTGTCTGTTGCACTTCCGGGTTTCTGGCGCACATGCAGGCACGATGATCAGCTGGTGTGGCCGTTCCGTAAACTAGAAGAGCTGGTCTTCCGGTTTCCGTACCGGCATGAGTACCGGCCAGCTGATCGTTGCGCTGGCATATGTGCCAGAAACAGGAAGAGGAGGTGCCCAGTGGGCATTCACACACCGGAAACCGGAAGTTCTGGTTTCCAGCACGCTCATGCGCACCGGGCAGCTTCTCTTCCGTGTCGCTTCTACAACGAGCCCGTGCACGCCCTTTTCTGCACTCGGTGCCGAAGAGGTTCGTCATCACTGGAGTATATTGTATATTATTTCCCTGAAGTAGTCCCTTCCAGTTCTGTTCTTCTGTTATCGAACTCACATGAAGTCACTAAAAGAGACACTTCATTAGTCAAATAAATCCTAACTTATTTAGCATTTATTCTGTTGCTGTTTTCCTGAATTTGAGTTAGATGCTGATTTGAATACTAGAGTTCTACAATTCTCCCTATGCTCCAACAGGTGTTGTTTAGGCAAGAAGGACACAGCAATAGCCAAGTAATTGAAACACAGAAAACATCTGCAGTGGTGCTTCTCCCTGACATAGGGGTCTATATCATAGAAGTCTGCGCAGTGAGTGAAGGAGGAGATGGCACCCCGAGCAGCCAAATCAGGATACCATCCTTTTCAGGTAAGGCGATGATCACAATTAGGCTCTCGGTGATTACATTCTTAATCTGCTGCCATGCTTAGCGCCCTTATGAAACGCTGAGCTTTCAAACTGAATTCCCTGGGAATTTCTACTAATGACCAATCTGACTCCATATACTGTTAATATAGTATGTTTAGATCGCAGGTGTCAAACTCGAGGTGTCATTGTCGTCACGTGACGTATCACGACTTCCCCCCCCCTTCGCTAAAGCTGGGGTGGACGTGACGTGGCGTGACGCACCCGGCCCACAGGCCACGAGTATGACACCCCTGGTTTAGATATTCTAAGCACAGTTGGTCCTCGACTTACAGCAATTCATTTAGTGACTGTTCAAAGCTGTCACAACAGCACTGAAAAATGTGACCATTTTTCACAATTAAGAACTTTGCAGCATCCCCACGATCAGGTGATCAGAATTCAGATGCTTGGCAACTGGGTTTGTTTTGATGACTGTTGCTGAGTCCCAAGATCACGTGGTCCCTTTTTGTGACCTTCCGATAAGCAAAGTCAATGGGGAAGCCAGATTCACTTAACAACTGGGTTTACTAACCAGGGTTGAAATCAACTTACCTTCACTACCGGTTCACAAATGCGAGTGTGTGCATGCTTCCGCGCATGCGCAGAGCATCAAAAACGAGACGTGATGTCGTCTGGGTGGTGTGCTGAGCCTTCCGCCACCACCGTTACCAGTTCGCCCAAACCGGATGGAACCGGCTAAATAGCACTACTGTTCCTAACTTACCAACTGCAGTGATTCACTTAACCTCAGTGGCGAGAAAGGTGGTAAAATGAGGCAGAACTCACTTTACAAATGTCTCACTTAACCACAGAAATGTTGGGCTCCATTGTGGTCATAAGTCGGGGACTACCTGTATCTCCGTTTCAAGTTCTATATCACAGGCTATTCATCGCAGGCTGTCATTGAATCACCCTTCGATATTGGCATGTTAGAGTTAAAGTCTCAAAGGTGCTTCCCCCCCCCCCCTCAAAAGGCAACTGGATTGGAGCTTCAGCAATTCTGGCTGAGAACTGAGAGCTTCTCAGCCAAGAGGCTGTTTTCACCAAGAAAAATCAGTCCAGTTGCCATTAGAAGGGAGGGGGAGACAACTATGACCTGGATGACTGAGAATCTCCATAGACTGTCCGAGTTGAAGGCCATTAGAACAGATCTTTGCCATAGAAGTGATGGTGTAATTATTGTCACTATAGGACTGGTTATTGTCTTGTTATATTTATTTTTCGTGGATTATTGTTTTGCTTGATAGTTTCATCTGTCGGAGTTTGTAGCGATCCAGCCAGCACACAAACAAATAATTCATTATATAGAAGAACCTTTTTTACACGCAATACTATAAAACATGATGCATGTATACGATGCCCATGCAGCTCTTGCAACGTGGTAGAGAGAGGAAGATAGCAAGTACCCGAAGTGGTGTTCAGCCGGTTCCGACCAGTTCTGGTGAATTGGTAGCGGAAATTTTGAGTAGTTTGGAGAGCCAGCAAATACCACCTCTGGTTGGTCCCACTCTCCCGCCCCTGGCATTCCCTGTGCTATATTCCCTTGCTATTTAGCTCAGCTGATTTGTGCGGATTGCCACGCTTCAGCTGAGCTAAGCAACAGCTCAGCTCACCAATGCAGACACCAAGGGTGGTCTTTGAGTGCTGCATACGCATGCAAAGCATTTGTGTGCATGCAAAGCATGCTCTCATAGAACCGGTAGGAAAAGATTTGGAATCCCACTGCTGGCAAGTACTCTTAAGCAAAGACCAACAAACTCTCTCTGACTGAGACACAGGATTTGTTGTGTGTGTAAGGGGAGGTGGCTTGGAGCCTGGGCGTGGCTTAGCTTAACAGCACACAACAGTTAAGCTAAGCCACGGCCAGGCTCCAAGCCATCTCCCCTTACTCACACAACAAATCCTGTGTCTCAGTCACCAAACAGTTCCCATTGGCTCACTTATTGCCATGGCTATTCCAGTTCATAAATTCTTATTCACCGACATCAACTTTGCAATGTTATTATATTTTGATGTTCTCAGTAAACCGCCCTGAATCTGTCTGATTCAGAGACAGAGGAATATAATAAATGAATATGATGGTCCAGAATACCAAAATGTTATAGTAATTAGTTTCTTCTTCTTCTTCTTCTTCTTCTTCTTCTTCTTCTTCTTCTTCTTCTTCTTCTTCTTCTTCTTCTTCTTCTTCTTCTTCTTCTTCTT